TTGAGGCGGTAACCAGACACTGAATTCAAAGCCAGCTGGAAGAGTGTTGGAATCCGTCAGGCTGCCTTAACGTAGACCAGTGTTTCTCAACCTTTTTAAGCAAAGGAACACCGAGGAACAAATGAAAATATCAAAGTTAGCAAACTTTTTAAAGGGTATATTTTAAATAAATTTATAATAAAACCATACATTCACAAATATGAACTTATTTATTACAATGTTTCTATAAACTATTTGTATCTATCTATCTATCTTCTATGTTGTCTGTCTGTGTGTCTGTCGTGGGCGTTGTTACCTCGCCCAGGCCGCATTTCTCACCCGATTTCGATGCGGTTTTCAACACAAGTTTGCAAATGGCTGCCGTAAGGACATGATGGAGCCCGATTTTTCAGTTCGGAATCAGGTTCCGAAAAAATCGATAATCGAAAAAATCGATAATCGAAAAAATTCTGCTTACAGAAGGAATGATCGCATTTCAACCAAATTTGACATCCCTCTTAGAGTCTACCATTAGAAGTGTTGTCCAGAAGTTTCATGACCACGGACCCCTAAACAGCGCGGAAAATCGATAAAACACAAAAACCGATACGCCCAGATTGCGTCTGAACCGCATGTCGGTTTTAAGCGACAACCGAGCGGATTTATGAAGAGGCCATTGGGAGTCATCATGTGAAGTTTCAACTCTGAGCACCCCCCAAACAGAGTGCAAATCGACAATCGGTCAACCCGTAAAAATGTTTTTTCTGTTTTTTTAAAGATGATCGTATTGTGTTTATTTTGTTTAGTTCTTTTTTCGTAACAGATTTAATGTTTAGTATAGAGCTTAGAAAAAATTCGCAGTGTGAGATAGGCAAGAAGTAAGGCATGTAGCAACATCAGCACGGCAAAGGGCACTCCTTTAAAGGCAAGGAAGGGCAAAAATATTTTAAGTCAAGTGATAGCGATTGCTGTATTAGTCGTACGATTTTTGAATCAAGCACGGGCAACGCCGGGCCATGCTGCTAGTTTAGTATAAAACCAGTTCCTGATGTTTTTCGTTCTCCAAATTAAAAAAAATAAAAATACTTTTCTAAAAATGAATATTAAAACAAAGTACTTTAAATAACATAATCGAAGAATAATGAAAAGAATTATTTGAAAAAAAAACAAAAAAACGTGATATTTATTCTTTTATTTAAATACTAACACTGTGTCGTCATTTTTGCACACACAAAAAATATATCTCAATTGCTAAAGTTTAAAGATAAAATTCAGCTGGCCTTATAATTATGCACCACACTGTATGTATGTATGCCGTGACAATATTTCGCGGTGCCCTTAAGAGGATCGCTCGGCCCACTAGTGTGCCGCAGCACGATGGTTGAGAATCATTGCCCCCTAGATACACCCACTGCATCTATGGCTGAAGTAAATATGATGCCTCCACGACCTGAACGGGTTACGGGACTCGCATCCGTGTCGTTGGCAACAAGTCCGCTATGGATATGTTCTGTTATTCAGTTTCACTTAAGGAATACCGATCAGTATTTCCCGGTAATGAATCCGAGGTGACGCTTCATTCAAGAGAGAAGCATAGTTCTTGTGCAATTTGCAGACCCACCTATTCAGAGATGTCAACATTGGGGAGCCACGTGTAAAGACAAAGACTTGAGGAAACCATATTCATTCCACATTTTTGTAAACCCGGATATAAGAGAGTTGTCGGGACCGGAGAAGAAGTCTCTTATATCCGGGTTTCTCTTATATCCGGGTTTGGTCTATTTTGTTTAGGTAAGTATGGGCTCTAATTTGCGACCAGAGAAAACCTCTCTTATATTCGGGTTTCTCTTATATCCGAGGTTCTCTTATATCCGGGTTTGGTCTATTTTGTTTAGGTAAGTATGGGCTCTAATTTGGGACCAGAGAAAATCTCTCTTATATCCGGGTTTGGTCTATTTTGTTTAGGTAAATATGGGCTCTAATTTGGGACCAGAGAAAATCTCTCTTATATCCGGGTTTGGTCTATTTTGTTTAGGTAAATATGGGCTCTAATTTGGGACCAGAGACAATCTCTCTTATATCCGGGTTTCTCTTATATCCGGGTCACACTGTATCTGCATTTCCACAGTTGTCCTATATGTAGACACACACTGGTGAACAATAATATTCTTGAGTATTCTGTGGATCTATTTTCTGCTTTAGTGGGTTTTATGTGATCCCACAATGGCGAGGAAGTATATTATTTTGATGTATGTAATGATAATTTTGCTAAAGTCATGTTTGCTTCACCATGTGCAGAAATGTGAAGGCTCAGCTTTGAAAATATAATGGATTTAAAAAAAAACATTTTACACGTCTTGGCGAGAAAATATTCTTGTAAAATCAGTAATAACTCCTCTTTAAATACTTTGAATTTGAAACATCTTGTATCAATACAAACTGATGCACCCAATATAAGTACAAAAACATTGGTAACAACTGAATGCTAAGAATTATATTTTCCTTGAAATTTGTCTTACATCCAAGGGTATGAGTTAATTAATGGTTAACGAGCCAGTGTCGCAGACTCAGTCAGTAATGTGCCATGCGTGATACACGCTTAGGCAGTTGGTTGCCATTTCTTTCTGAGGTAGACCAGTTGCCATCCAAGGCTATAGAACCCGGTCTGTCCTGCTACTTAATCATAGCTGGGGGGGAGAACAAGAGGATTCATACCCTTTCCCAAGGGTATTAGCACATAAGTGAAATATAATGGATTCGACCAGAATTTGAACTCTGCTCTCTGATTCCTCAATCCGAAAAATATCCATGTATTTTATACACTTTCATAGTGTTTTGACCCCCCCCAGTTTGATGGTTAACTATTTACCCGTAGGTAGGACTCTAATAGGTGCTACCAACCTGGGAACAACAGCAATTAAGAGGTCGTTCCACACTCCTCAAAACCTCTGGATCAGAGGCCTTGCTGCCGGATGTAGTTTATCGTCAGACCCAGGACGTGAAGGCAACTTACTTGTGTTCTTCTGACAAAAACTAAATCACGTTTAGCAAATAATAAATTATAATATAATCAGGCCTGATAAAAAAACAGAGTGTTTTTAGAGGGGTGCTTTAATTTTAGTGGTCACGAGTTTAGAATTTTCACACTAAACTTAGCTCAGATTTTTTTTTTTCCAGGAATTTTAAATGATTTTCAATGTCTTATGCCCACAGGATCCCAATTTTTTGTCCTGTAAGCCTTTATATCATGGTTAACAACATTATCTTTTTTCATTTTTATTAATTCTTTTCATTTGTCACTATATTCATTAAATATACATTTATGCCTTGTGCCAAGAATGGCTATACTCAACAAACAACATAGGGAGCTTCAACATGGGATAATGGTTAGTGAGCCACTACTCCTGAGTATTGAGTTCAAACCTCATTGAGTACCATCATACCTTTTCTAAAGCTCACTGAAGAAAATAAATGGTTTAATGAACACATTGAACTTGTAGATCATTAGTAGTGAATACGGTCCTCACTGGGTGCCACATACATATCACCTTGTACTAATCTAAGTCGATATAAATAGCGCTTCATCATGGTGTAATGGACATAGATCATTCATCGTGAATACGATCCGCACTGGGTGTCCGATACTTGGGACCTTATGTTAAAGCTAAGCCAGTAAAAAAAGGTAACTCATTGGAGTGTAATGGTCAACAAGCTGGACTTGTATATCATTAGTTGTGAATTGGATCCTCACAGTTACTTTATACTCGGGACCTTGTGCTAAAGCTAGACCAATAAAATAAATGGCAACTCCTCGAGGCGTAATGGTCAACAAGCTGGCGTTGTATCTCATCAGTTGTGAATAGGATCCTCACTGGGTGCTCCATACTTGTGACTTTTTGCAAGCTAAATACAAAACTACAACTCTTAGCGACAATAATTGTTAATTCGTCTATTATTCGAGTTTGGAAGGGGCTCGCGATTCATCGCTTTTGAGATTATCATGCTATTGAAAGCTTTTATTTATTTACTTATTTATTTTTACTCCAAGATTCATAAAAACTGAACGACTCAGAAGAGGGAAGTAAAACAAAATGCTAGTAAAATCCGAATTCATCCACGTTTTAAATCTAACCTTGTTTAAATTTGTTGAATTACCAATCTATTTTTGTGTGTGTGTGGGGGGTTGTTTTGCTTTAAAATATGTATTTTCCGTTAAAACACGAATAAAAATTTTGTTTTCGCGATGTTTAACAAACCGCCATTTTTGTTGTAGGACAGCACGTGTAAGATTTTTCCGAAAATATCATGGCTCTCCACAGCCTCCTGTCCTTTGTAGCATTTAGTAAATTTTGTCATTTTGCTATTTCTCCTACGCCCTGTTCTCACAACCATTTACACAAACTTGATAAATAGGTTATGCACTGCTTTCTATCCTGCCTTCAATATGTCCCGTGAGTGTCAAATTCTCCAAGCCGTATTTCTTCGTTATGTACCGTGCAGATTCCAACTGTCTTTTTCTGATGTTAAGCATAAGCGTCTGTTTTGGTTCCACTTTTTCTAACACTCTGTCGTTTCTCACATGTTCAGTCCATGCTATTATCAATATCCTTCTGTAGAACCACATTTCTGTTGCTTCAGGTCTCTCCTTCATGTGTGTGGAGATTGTCCCGCATTCACTGCCATATACACATTCCTCATCGGTCTTTTGAAGAGGAGTAGAGATATATCTTTTGTTTTCTGTTGAGGATGGGATTTCTTCTCATTCTCTTTCAGCCTCAGTAGCTCCTAACGTTTCAGTGGCAAAATCGCCCTGCTCGGAGTGAATTGATTATGTCCTTTGCCCGGGTGTACGCGCTCAGGTCCCCCACTTAAAAAAAAAAAGACCTTGTGTCACATCTCGTCATCGTGGGGGAACGAGTAAACACCGTAATTCAGTTCCACAGGGTGGTCCGAAAATCTTGTCACCCTGTACCAGTATCGATTTGCCGAATCTTGCAGTGAAGTCATGTCGCACATCCTCCATGCTCTTGTCAGAATGCACCCGATCATGTGTCCATACACCTGCTAAGCAGCCTCTCTTTCAAACTGTAGGAGCAGGTGTCAGCCATCTGAAATAGAAAATTATATTATGTAGATGTGACAAAACTTTCGGACCACAATTCACTTATAATCTGAACGTTAATTTTTTCAGTTTTTGATTAGTGGGTGGGAAAAGATCAGAAAATTAAATTTTATTCATATTTCATAGGTTTTGTTTTGTTTGTTTTTAACATAGGTGACTAATTTTCCTCCTTGAAAATTAGAGATACCTACTATAGAGGGGGGACTTCTTTTTTTGTATGTATAATCTATATAAAATGAGCTTTAAAGGAATATAAAATCTGACGACATCATAATTACTTCCAGCTTTACCCATTTTTTACGGGATTTTACTCTCAATTTTTCAGAAGGACCTCAGGATTAACGGCTTTTGATATTATTTCAGTAACACAAATGCTTTTATTTATTTATTTATTTTTAATTCGAGATTTACCCTCCTCCCAAAAAACAAAAAAAAAACAAAACAAAACAAAAAACAAAACAAAAAAAACGATGATTCAGGACAGAGAAGTAAAATATGACCTAAGGAAAATCTGCATTCACTGATGCAAGAAATATAACCTGATTTTGTAATTTTATATCAAAGTTTCTCTCAATTAGCGAACAAGTTGTAGACGCCGCTTAACCCTGTCTAAACTCAAACGGATTGCGTGGAGAACGAACGAAAAATATAAAATATATAAAATATATAAATATATAAATATATATATAAAATATATAAATATATAAATATAAATATATAAATATATAAAAAATATAAAATATATAAAATATATAAAAGTTTCTCTCAATTGGCGAACAAGTTGTAGACGCCGCTTAACCCTGTCTAAACTCAAACGGATTGCGTGGAGAACGAACGAAAAATAAAAGTAAGTGATCCTTATAATTTCATAGGATAATTCAATCCTTCAAAACTTGAAAAACAACTATCTCTCGAATTCATTTTATTTTCAAGAAAGACTTGTAGTTCGTTCACGTAATATTAATTTGCCGTGATAATTATCATTGTTATTGTTGTTGTCGTTCATCATCATCGTCATTATTATTATTTTTATTATTATTAATATTATTATTATTATTATTATTATTGTCACACACTCTCAGTTTTTCAATGCATCAAGTACATTACGTTAGCTGTCAAATGATCTACAATCTGTTGTTAATTGGGACAAGCAAAGTGTTGTTAATTTTAACACCCCCAACACCGAACTGCTCTCTTTTAATCGTCTGAGATAATTTTTTAAAGCCTCTCATCAGCATGGCTGATGCTAACCTTCGGGAGAGTGACCCCTTGCGCATCCTGGGGGCTAACGTTTTCCGCCTACTTGAAACGGGAGCCCTCAGACAGACAACATTTTCTTCAAAACATGTACAGTGTTCAAAAAAGCCGAACTTTATTATTATTATTATTATTATTATTATTATTATTATTATTATTATTATTATTTTCTTTGATTTCTGGCGTTTACACATTTCTTTCTGGGTACCGCCAAGGGACCTAAGGTTAGAAATGGCATCATGACACTTTCTACTGACAAAAAAAAAAAAAAATTACATAGATAAAGGCCTTCGTAAAATGTGGGCTGTACTTGTGAGAACAATTTTTTGTATCTCCTTGAGGCATGGACTTCCAGGAATCCCTTCAATTAGTCTACTGCAATCTTTTCCAACCAGTCCTAGGGCTCCAACTACAACAGGAATTGTTGATGTTGCCATATGCCACATTTTCGAGATTTCTATTTCAAGGTCCTTGTATTTTGACAACTTTTCGAATATCTTCAAAGATACATTGCAGTCGGCAGGGACTGCCATATCAATAAGGAGGCACTTTTTATAATTATTATTATTATTATTATTATTATTATTATTTTCTTGGATTTATGTCGTATGAACATTTACTTCCGGCTCCCAACCAAAGACCTAAGATCAGAAATGGTTTCATGAAATTTTCCACTGATCATTTTTTGTAAAAACAATCCTAAGATCACACATATTTTACATAGCTAAAGCTCTTCGTAATGTGAGCTGTACTTGTGAGTGCAATTTTCTGTATTTGTTTAAGACATTAGATACCAGGAATCCCTTCAAGTCTATCAGAACCTTTTCCAGGCAATCTGAGGGCTCCAACTACAACTGGAATTGTTAATCTGTCTATATTTCTGAGATGAGGTATTATGTACAGTATTTACATTAGTCGGACTATTGTCCTCATCTTTGTCGCCATATTTGTCACAACGTTTCGGCTGTTGTACGCTCCGGCCTTCTTCAGGTGGTTGGAATTTCGAACTGAACCCTTTATTTCGATCTCTGGGGTAGACTTTTCTAGTTCCACGTGCCATGTTTGATGGATGTCAGTTATCAGTTATCTCCTTCTAATTTTCCCTCTGAAAGTTCTCCACTACCTTAACCAGGAATTGAACTCACCTTCTTTGGGTCTGTCACTGGATCTAACCAACGCCTTTATCCACTGTGGATAAAAAATTAGCAGGAGATAACTGACATCCATCAAACATGGCACGTGGAACTAGAAATCAGTCTACCCCAGATTCGATAAAGGGTTCAGTTCGAAATTCCAACCACCTGAAGAAGGCCGGAGCGTACAACAGCCGAAACGTTGTGACAAATATGGCGACAAAGATGAGGACAATAGTCCGACTAATGTAAATACTGTGGAATTGTTAATGTCCTCATATGACATATTTTTTAGATTCTCACTTCAAGATCCTTGTATTTTTTATAGTTCTTTTTTTTTTAAAGATCTTCAAAGCTACATTACAATCAGCAGGAAACTGCCATGTCAATAAGAAAACACATTCTGTTTTAGTGGTCTTTGGTCACGATGTTTGGGCGATTAGCTTTGATTGTTCGGACTGTGTGTATTGAAAAGTCCCATAAAATTGTAACAGGTCCTATCTCCGTAATCGTTCGGGTGGTGTTCATATTATTATTATTATTATTGTTATTTTTATTTTCTTTGATTTCTGGCGTTTACACATTTCTTTCCAGGTCCCGCCCAGGGACTTAAGGTTAGAAATGGCATCATGACACACTGACAAAAAAAAAAAAAAAATTAAATTATATAGATAAAGCCCTTCGTAAAGTGTGAGCTGTACTTTTCAGGACAATTTTTTGTATCTCCTTGAGGCATGGACTTCCAGGAATCCCTTCAATTAGTCTACTGCATTCTTTTCCAACCAGTCCTAGGGCTCCAACTACAACAGGAATTGTTGATGTTCCCATGTGCCACATTTTTGAGATTTCGATTTCAAAGTATTTTGATAGCTTTTTGAAGATCTTCAGAGATACAATGCAGTCTTCAGTGTCTGCCATATCAATAAGAAGGCACTTTTTTTGTTTATTTGCGGTCTCTAATAACACTGTCTGGGCGGTTAGCTTTGATTGTTCGGACTGTGTGTATTGAAAAGTCCCATAAACTTGTAACAGGTCCTATCTCTGTAACCACGACTTTGTGATGTTACTACCAGTTACTTGCAGTTTCCTTCTGGTAAAAGTTGTATATTTTCCAATTCAGACATTGGCCCATTCTATCATGTCTTCAAGTTATATATTCAGTGGATGCTAACACCGTGCAACCTGATACAAGATGACCAGTTGCTTATTAATATTATTATTATTAATATAATTATTATTGGTGGAGTTTTTACCATATTGATTGGTTCGTTTTCTGCTGTTTATCAACCCTTTGCAGGTTATTTAAAGCCAGAAAATATTTTTAGATTGTAAGAATTTTTGTTTTAGATACTAATGGTTTAGTGACACACGTCTTACTAATTAACCCAAAGCCATTATTTATTTCACCACCCGCACATCCAACCTTACAGAACCTGCTATATGAAGTTTTTACAATAGGCACTAGGGTCAGAAATAATCGTTTATTCCCTTTGTTTTCATTTCACTATAGATTAAGTACTCTAGATTACGAAAATTACGGCCATATTATGTTGAAACACCGGTTCCTGCATGATCACCGAAACCTGATCTGTACCTATATGAGTGATCTCTTGGGAATACCAGGTGCTATAAGCTTGGATGTGCGGGTGGTGTAATGGAGAATGCCTTGGAAATGTTAACTGGAGAGCCGAGTTCCAATTCCAGTTGGGTTTGTTACATTCACTTATGCACAAGCCAATAAAAAATCTGGATTACAAATATAAAAAAAAAGACAATTATTAATTTTTATAGAAGTCAATATGAGATCTAGTTTCCTATATAAATACATTGTAAATTGATCTCCCCTACATCAGCTAAAACAAATGTGCTCAGACGACGTGTTTTCTGAAAATGTAAAACACAAAACAAAGCTCGTCCTGGGTAAGACGATACACTACATCCGCGTCCTGAGTAAGACGATAAACTACACCTGCGTCCTGGGTAAGACGATAAACTACATCCGCGTCCTGGGTAAGACGATAAACTACATCCGCGTCCTGGGTAAGACGATAAACTACGTCTAACACTAAGGACAAGGAAGTTTTGAGAATCGTGGAACCACCTCTTAATTTCTGGTGTTCTCAGGTCCACCCTGTTACACTCCTAGCTATGGGCAAATAGTTAACCCCCAAACTTGGGTCAAAACTATATGAAAATGTAAAAATAGGTTTTAATACCAGAAATACTTTGTAAAAAAATTATTAGTAGCAATACATTATTACCAGCAATATATTTTTTTAAAAGAAATATTACCAGCTATACATTTTTGAATAAAAATATTACCACTTATACATTTTTTGAAAAAAAAAATATTGGCAACGATACATTTTGAAGAAAAAATATTACCAGAAATAAATTTTTGAACGAAAAAAATAATACTAGCAATGCATTTTTTTTAAAGAATATTACCAGCAATAAAAATTGTCGGCATTAAATAAGCCACTGAGTTTGATATACCGTAAAACAAAACAAAGCAAAACAAAGCAAAAAAATGAAATTAGTAATCTCAAGTAAATTTAGCTTATACAGGGTGTTTCAAAAATCCATGTCACATTGTAAGAACTCTTTTATCAGGAACTACAAATAATGATTTTTGAACACAAAAAATTAGTCAGTCAGTTATGTGCCATGCATGATACACGCTTAGACGATCATGTATCTTTCGATACATGACTGACGAGGAAGATTTTTTCCCTGGATAGACCAGTTGCCATCCAAGGCTATAGAATCCAATCTTTTCTGCTATTTACTCATAGCTGGGGGGGTAGAAGAGGATTCATACCTTTCCCAAGGGTATTAGCATGTAAGTGAATGTAATGGATTTGAGTGGAATTCGAACTCGGCACTCCGATTCCTCTATCAGTTATGTGCCATGCGTGATACACGCCTAGGCGATCATGTATCTTACGATACAACTATGACGAGGAAGATTTTTCCAAGCAGCTGATATTTCTTTCTGCAGTAGACCAGTTGCCATCCAATGCTATAGAACCCGGTCTGTTCTGTTATTTACCCATAGCTGGGGGGGAGAGAAGAAGGAGATTCATACCTTTCCCAAGGTTATTAGCAGGTAAGTGAATGTAATGGATTCGACTGGAATTCGAACTCGGCTCTCTGAATCCTCTATCACTTATGTGCCATGCGTGATACACGCTTAGGCGATCATGTATCTTTCAATACATGACTGACAAGGCACATTTTTCCCCGCAGTAGGTTGCCATTTCTTTCTGCAGTAGACCAGTTGCCATTCAAAGATATAGAACCCGGTGTGTCCTGCTATTTACCCATAGATGGGGGGTAGAAGAAGAGGACTCATACCTTTCCCAACGGTATTAGCAGGTAAGTGAATGTAATGGACTCAACTTGAATTCGAACTCGGCTCTCCGATTCCTTAATCCGAGCCGCTGTCTATTACTCT